GCCACTGTACACTGCTCAACTCAGCTGGATAGTCAGGATGTTGTTTCTTGACACTACACTGCTCAAACTCAGCTGCACAGTCAGAATGTTGTTTCTCGCCTCAAAACACTGCTCAAACTCAGCTTGATAGTCAGAATGTTGTTTCTGGCCACTGTACACTGCTCAAACTCAGCTTGATAGTCAGAATGTTGTTTCTGGCCACTGTACACTGCTCAAACTCAGCTGGACAGTCAGAATGTTGTTTCTGGCCACTATACGCTGCTCAACTCAGCTGGACAGTCAGCATGTTGTTTCTGGCCACTGTACACTGCTCAACTCAGCTGGATAGTCAGAATGTTGTTTCTGGCCACTGTACACTGCTCAAACTCAGCTGGACAGTCAGCATGTTGTTTCTGGCCACTGTACACTGCTCAACTCAGCTGGATAGTCAGCATGTTGTTTCTTGACACTACACTGCTAAAACTCAGCTGCACAGTCAGAATGTTGTTTCTCGCCTCGAAACACTGCTCAAACTCAGCTTGATAGTCAGAATGTTGTTTCTGGCCACTGTACACTGCTCAAACTCAGCTGGACAGTCAGCATGTTGTTTCTGGCCACTGTACACTGCTCAAACTCAGCTTGATAGTCAGAATGTTGTTTCTGGCCACTGTACACTGCTCAAACTCAGCTGGACAGTCAGCATGTTGTTTCTGGCCACTGTACACTGCTCAACTCAGCTTGATAGTCAGAATGTTGTTTCTTGACACTACACTGCTCAAACTCAGCTGCACAGTCAGAATGTTGTTTCTCGCCTCAAAACACTGCTCAAACTCAGCTTGATAGTCAGAATGTTGTTTCTGGCCACTGAACAGTGCTCAAACTCAGCTGCACAGTCAGAATGTTGTTTCTCGCCTCAAAACACTGCTCAAACTCAGCTTGATAGTCAGAATGTTGTTTCTGGCCACTGAACAGTGCTCAAACTCAGCTGGACAGTCAGAATGTTGTTTCTCGCCTCAAAACACTGCTCAAACTCAGCTTGATAGTCAGAATGTTGTTTCTGGCCACTGTACACTGCTCAAACTCAGCTGGACAGTCAGAATGTTGTTTCTGGCCAATATACACTGCTCAAACTCAGCTGGACAGTCAGCATGTTGTTTCTGGCCACTGTACACTGCTCAACTCAGCTGGATAGTCAGGATGTTGTTTCTTGACACTACACTGCTCAAACTCAGCTGCACAGTCAGAATGTTGTTTCTCGCCTCAAAACACTGCTCAAACTCAGCTTGATAGTCAGAATGTTGTTTCTGGCCACTGTACACTGCTCAAACTCAGCTTGATAGTCAGAATGTTGTTTCTGGCCACTGTACACTGCTCAAACTCAGCTGGACAGTCAGAATGTTGTTTCTGGCCACTATACGCTGCTCAACTCAGCTGGACAGTCAGCATGTTGTTTCTGGCCACTGTACACTGCTCAACTCAGCTGGATAGTCAGAATGTTGTTTCTGGCCACTGTACACTGCTCAAACTCAGCTGGACAGTCAGCATGTTGTTTCTGGCCACTGTACACTGCTCAACTCAGCTGGATAGTCAGCATGTTGTTTCTTGACACTACACTGCTAAAACTCAGCTGCACAGTCAGAATGTTGTTTCTCGCCTCGAAACACTGCTCAAACTCAGCTTGATAGTCAGAATGTTGTTTCTGGCCACTGTACACTGCTCAAACTCAGCTGGACAGTCAGCATGTTGTTTCTGGCCACTGTACACTGCTCAAACTCAGCTTGATAGTCAGAATGTTGTTTCTGGCCACTGTACACTGCTCAAACTCAGCTGGACAGTCAGCATGTTGTTTCTGGCCACTGTACACTGCTCAACTCAGCTTGATAGTCAGAATGTTGTTTCTTGACACTACACTGCTCAAACTCAGCTGCACAGTCAGAATGTTGTTTCTCGCCTCGAAACACTGCTCAAACTCAGCTTGATAGTCAGAATGTTGTTTCTGGCCACTGTACACTGCTCAACTGAGCTGGATAGTCAGAATGTTGTTTCTGGCCACTATACACTGCTCAACTCAGCTGGATAGTCAGAATGTTGTTTCTTGACACTACACTGCTCAAACTCAGCTGGACAGTCAGCATGGTGTTTCTGGCCACTGTACACTGCTGAAACTCAGCTGGATAGTCAGCATGTTGTTTCTTGACACTACACTGCTCAAACTCAGCTGCACAGTCAGAATGTTGTTTCTCACCTCAAAACACTGCTCAAACTCAGCTGGACAGTCAGAATGTTGTTTCTGGCCACTGTACACCGCTCAAACTCAGCTGAACATGCAGCATGTTGTTTCTGGCCACTGTACACTGCTCAAACTCAGCTGGATAGTCAGAATGTTGTTTCTTGACACTACACTGCTCAAACTCAGCTGCACAGTCAGAATGTTGTTTCTCGCCTCAAAACACTGCTCAAACTCAGCTTGATAGTCAGAATGTTGTTTCTGGCCACTGTACACTGCTCAAACTCAGCTGGACAGTCAGCATGTTGTTTCTGGCCACTGTACACTGCTCAAACTCAGCTGAACATGCAGCATGTTGTTTCTGGCCACTTTACACTGCTCAAACTAAGCTGGATCGACAGTCAGAATGTTGTTTCTGGCCACTGTACACTGCTCAAACTCAGCTGGACAGTCAGAATGTTGTTTCTGGCTACTACCCAGGTAGCATGCCATCATCGGCCCTGCATCGGCCCAACGTCGGCTACACCATCGGCCCAACGTTGGCAAACTGCATCGGGCCGATGAAGTTTTGCTCATCGGATCGACGTCGGCCCAACGCCGGCAAACGTCATCGGCCCTGCATCGGCACTGCACCGGCCCAGCATCGGCCCAGCGTCGGCAAACATCGTCGGGCCGATGAAGTTTTGCTCATCGGATCGACATCGGCCCAACGCCGGCAAACATCACCGGCCCTGCATCGGCAATGCACCGGCCCAGCATTGGCCCAGCGTCGGCAAACAATGTCGGGCCGATGAAGTTTTGCTCATCGGATCGACATCGGCCCAACGTCGTAAATAGTTATCTGGCCAGCCTCCGGCAACTGTTATGGAATCAGCATCGGATGGACATCGGCCCAACGTCAACAATAATTATCAGCGCAGCATCTGCCATTGTCTTAAATAGGCTGATGTCATCAGAAGTCATAACTGACAACATCTCATCTTAATATTTCATGTAAATGATGCCACAATAGAACTTTTCCAAGTGTAGTGTTAGGGTACATAAAACTAAACATTTCTAAAAGCTGCAGCTAGCCATGATGTTAAAGTAACAAAGATAAAAGGTAAAACTAAAAAATACTGAATTTTTAAAAAGATAATAATTTTTTATCATAGTTAATACTTTGAAAACCAAATGTAAGTAATATAAATACTTCTAGCTGTACAATACAATCGAAATGCTTACACTAGTTACAGTACTATTTTTTATGTACCCTAATACATGTGTAGTTAATACTTATAAAAAACACAAACAGCAAAATAGAATAATAAACTTTATTATTAATTAATTATTATTTACAAGAAAACAGTGTTACTACCTGCAACAAAAACACAGTCTAAACATATACCCCTCATATTGGCCTGCAAAATTTCATTTATGTGGCTTCAAATTCGTTTGCAAGACAAAGCCCCCCCCCCCCCCCCCCCCCTATATTTCATCAAGTTAAAACAGCATGAAGCAAAGGCCATAACTCCATACAAAATAAGTTCTTATAACCATCTTCTGGAGTTTGTACCTTAGGTAAGCACGGAAAGTTTCATTTATTAACTTCAGTAGTGTCCAAGAGAACCTGGCAGAATATGTACCAAGTTCAAAAACAAGGGTCATAACCCTGTGAAAAATATGTTGTCAACACCAACATTTTGGATTTCTTTGTTCCGCTGCAATTCAGCACTTTTGTTTGCAGATTCTCTATCTACATCTCTGTTTTTCAGTACGCGTTTTCCTTATGCCATTTCTAAGCCTTGCTCCTGGAACTCGAAGCCATTCTTTTACACAGGTCACCATGTACTTGTCAGTGGCTTGTAAGAGCCCAGCTGCAGGCTTCCTCCTCAGCTTCTGTTTACAAATGATAGCAAAAAATGTCAGTGTGCATATTATAAGTCATTGCATGCACTCTCACTATTACAAGAAATGGACTTCACAAGTGTGTTAACATAATGGAATAATAGAATAAGTAATACCCTGTTCACATGCACCACCTTACATATGTGTGTATATTTTATTTTAAGTCTTGACACCTGTTAATAAATACAGGGTTCACTCAAGGAATTTTCTGCCATGGGCCCTTTATGTGACAATTTCATATATTCCCTAGGTACACCCGCACTTGCCCATACAGCACAATGTTAAAATGCCCCATTGTATTTGAAAATGTGGGCCTTTTTCCAAATTTAGGGGCTAAAAGCAGAAGGCCCCACCCTAGAATTATCGGAATCCCAGTAAGTAAATTGATGAGTTAATAATATGTGTAAATAAGTAAATTGAATTATGTGTAATTATATACGCAAATAACATAACAACTCCCAATATTGTATGGTAGGTCCCTAATCTGTTTCTTATGTCAATTAAAAAAGATTTTATAACTGACATATCACCCTATTAATTTAGCCCAATAAAAATCCCCAATAACCACATAACACCCCTCCTCCAATCTTGCTGGAGAACAGTTTTAGGTGTGCAATCTCTCTTGTATGTCCATCAAAAGTAAGTCAGCATGAAATTTCATTAGGAAGATTACCATAGTAAGTGTCAGGGGCCCTTAATAGGGCAAACATGATATTAAATATATGCTTATAAATATTTCAAGCAGAAACATGTATCAGTTGGTTTGGTTTGTTGTTTAACGCCTCACTCAGCAATATTCCAGCTATATGACGGCGGTCTGTAAATGATCAAGTCTGGACAAGACAATCAAGTGATTAACATCATGAGCATCAATCCATGCAATTGGGATCGATGACATGCATCAACCAAGTCAGAGAGCCTCACCTCCAGATCCCATTAGTCGCCTCATACGACAAGCATTGTTGCCTTTTACGGCAAACATGGGTTGCTGAAGATATCTTCTACCCCGGATCTTCTATATGAATCAAAATTGGAGTAAATTTCCCATACTTGATAGTTGATACATCTAAAGAAATTTAATTCACACACCAGTTCTCTCTCAGTTGCTCGATTTTGGAAAAGCTGCTAAGAGTTCATTCAGCTCATCCATGTTTACCAATAGGAAATGGCTAAACATCTGATTTTCTTAAATAGAAATATAAGAATATTATATGTCAAGTTTGTGTAGCAGCAGTGAGCACTTAGCTATTATGGTGATGATGTCAAGAGGTTGAGGGGAATATTGCTCAAAACATAAAAGTAACATTTAAATAAAGCTTTGGCCATACACAGATATCAGGTCCTTTCCTTAAGTCATACATCTTATCTCATATATTTGCACTTGTACATACAGGCCTTATCTGGAGCCATGTAGCAGAAATAATTTCCCAGGGAAAGTAGTTTCACGTTAATAGCCATAGCCACATCCATTGAAAAGCAGTGAGAAAATCCCCATATTGACATAATATTGAACAGATCCTGTGAAGTCTGGTTACCACAAAACAGATTTCATTTATTATATGATGCCAAAATATATGTAGATTACATCATGGTAAACCAAAACTGCAAATAAACGTTTATCATTAACAGATCAGATACAAAGGTATATACATATTACAAACACTTGTATGCAAAAAATAGCAGGAAAGTATTGGGGACAAGTAATTTTAATTTTTAATTTAATTTAAATTTAATTTTTTTAGTCAGAATAAATCAAATTTGAAACAAGGCTGTGGGTGTTTTTCTACAATGGATAATGTCCTGAAAAATCTGTACTGAAGTATCTTCATCAAAGTTTTACCATAAATTTGAATTTTGATTAAATAAATGACATTCTAAATTGTCTTGGATTATATATTTAGCATCATACCTTTGAAATAGTACATTTAAAAAAAATTAATTCCGTATTTCATCAAAAATGTACATCATAAATTACTTAACTAGATAAGACTACCATACCCCCCCAAAAAAACAAAACAAAACAAAACAAAACAAAAAAACAACAACACACACACACACACACCCTCTAAAAATCCATTCTGAAATAGCCATATCTCAAAACCTCAATCGATCGATACAGATACCATACATCGGTATAAGATTTCTGATCGATTATAGGCATATGTCTATGTAAGGTATCCAGCAGATCTTGATAAAATTGCCCACACCTGTAATGCGCAGTGATCCGTTTACTAAAAGAGCTGTCCTTTCATTTCGCCCATTATCCAGAAAAAGTTCAAAATTCGCAAGTAACTATGACATTAAAAAACATATTTTTATTTTTTTTATTTCAACCTTTTGGTGATCGAAAACCAAACTCGGCAGTGAAGCTCCGTTCATCGATCAGTAGGAAACATTAGCTGGATCGCATGACATGCACACGCAATGCTGAAAGTTTCCGAAAGCCTCGTTATGAATTTCATGTTCACTGCTTTTTGCGCTGACAGCAATCACAAAATTGACTTGTAAATTCGAGTTTGTAATTAATTTCCTAACCTCATCCATCCCCACACTTAACAAATACGCCTGTGACAATGACAAATAAAGCAATGTTCATTCAAAAATACTAATGTAAGTAAAAGTTTGGCTATTTATTTGCTTGCCGCTGTAATACTCTCTCACCCCGAGATTGCGACTCGTTGGTTGAACATCGCTGAATCTACATGGAAATAAAACATATCTTGTCATGTTTTGTATTTGCCCTTGTCCCCGCGTTTTGCTAGAAATATGTATATGGTGTTTAAAAAATATAAATAGAGAATTTAGTGAGGATGCAGTGTCACGACATATTCTACGGATTTTGACACTGACGTAGAATTGACAGGAGTGTGTTTCTCGAACCTCCAAAACACATAGGCCTAGATTTCTCTACTCATGTTGACACTTATGAATGTACACTGTTTCTCGTTTCAATTGTAAGGTTTGAAAATGAAATAAACACCTCGTAAATACAGTAATGAAGTAAACACTTACCGCAAAATAGATTTTCCCTCAGCCCTCCGCGCATCACGTCTGCTTGAAAAGACGCGCGTGAGTAACAGCACCCTCTATAACAAGAGTAGCTTCCCTTGGAAACATGTTGTGAAAACGTTGGACCAACGTAACATAACCGCTCGCGATATTCCAAACTTTTGCCAATATCATGTAATTTGCTGAATGAATTGTAAGATGTGACGAATCCCGTCTGTATCTTCTCAGCTGGACAGTCAGCATGTTGTTTCTGGCCACTGTACACTACTCAAACTCAGCTGAACATGCAGCATGTTGTTTCTGGCCACTGTACACTGCTCAAACTCAGCTGGATCGACAGTCAGAATGTTGTTTCTGGCCACTGTACACTGCTCAAACTCAGCTGGACAGTCAGAATGTTGTTTCTGGCTACTATACACTGCTCAAACTCAGCTGGATAGTCAGAATGTTGTTTCTGGCCACTATACACTGCTCAAACTCAGCTGGACAGTCAGAATGTTGTTTACAGACACTTTTCACTGCTGAAATTCAGCTGCACATACAGTCATTTCTCAAGCTATCCATTCAAACATTTCTCCATGTCAGTCGTCATGTTTATGCAGGTTCCGACACAGCCACTAATAACCACTTGTTTGAAGCAGTGCTAAGTTGTAAGTACAAAAGTGCAGTCCTCCCAGAATGTAGCAGGCATGCCATGACCAACTGTTCCAATATTACTGTGGGGAGTTTGATTAACTTAATTTGTGTCTACCCCTGTTATGGGGATGAACAACATAGCATAATCTCAGTTAAATATCAAAGAGTTCCCAACTGTAGAAGTTGCATGTTTAGTCCCTGGACAAAATGAGCAGTGATGACACTCCTGGACATGAACCAGACCAGTCAGGCGGCCCACACTACCGGATTGTCGACAGAGGGATAAATACAACTGTGCAAATTGGAGACGACAACCTCCTCGTCAGAATGGAGTTACCAGCCGATCTGCCAGGTAATAATACTTCATTTGATTGGGCCTGCTTTCCCTGCTGTGTTTTTATTGCTGTGTTTGAAAAGTAGATACTATACATTGTATTTCATTTGAAAGAGAATGCTTTAGCCATGTTCGCAATTTAAAATATTCCAAGTTTCAAATCAGAGTTTTAAGCGTTTAATTTGAAAATACACTATGTCCTATTAAGCATGCCTAAACCAATACAAATTCTCAATTAAGATTGAGAGAGAGAATGAGAGAGATGTGGTATTGGTTTAGTCTAATATGTTTTGTAGGTTAAATAGTTGCATGACAATAATCTTCATTCCATATCTGTTCACTTACATATATGGAAACAATACTTTTCAAAATACTACTTAAATCACTTCAATAAGTGGCAATGATGTCATAATACTACATAAATCTCTTCAATGAGTGGCAATGATGTCATCATACTGCTTAGATCTCTTCAATGAGTGGCAATGATGTCATCATACCACTTAAATCTCTTCAATAAGTGGCAATGATGTCATCATACTACTTAAATCTCTTCAATAAGTGGCAATGATGTCATCATACTACTTAAATCTCTTCAATGAGTGGCAATGATGTCATCATACTATTTAAATCACTTCAATGAGTGGCAATGATATCATCATACTACTTAAATCTCTTCAATAAGTGGCAATGATGTCATCATACTACTTAAACCTCTTCAATGAGTGGCAATGATATCCTCATTCTACTTAAATCACTTCAATAAGTGGCAATGATATCATCATACTACTTAAATCTCTTCAATGAGTGGCAATGATATCATCATACCACTTCAATGAGTGGCATTGATATCGTCATACTCCTTAAATCACTTCAATAAGTGGCAATGATGTCATCATACAACTTTGATCACTTCAATAAGTGGCAATAATGTCATCATACTACTTAAAGCACTTCAATAAGTGTCAATAATGTCATCATACTACTTAAAGCAATTCAAAAAGTGGCAATGATGTCATCATACCACTTAAATCACTTCAATGAGTGCCAGTGATATTGTCATACTACTTCAATGAGTAGCAATGATGTCATCATACTACTTAAATCACTTCAATAAATGGTTATGATATCATCATACTATTTAAATCACTTCAATAAGTGGCAATGATATTGTCATACTACTTCAATGAGTGGCAATAATGTCATCTGACTACTTAAAGCACTTTAATGAGTGTTAGTGATATTGTCTTACACTTTAAATCACTTCAATGAGTGGCTATAATGTCATCATTCTATTTAAATCACTTCAATGATTGACAGTGATATTGTCATACTACTTAAATCACTTCAATCAGTGGCAATGATGTCATCATACTACTTCAATCACTTCAATGAGTGGCAGTGATATTGTCATACTACTAAAAACACTTCAATAAATGGCAATGATGTCATCATACTACTTCAATCACTTCAATGAGTGGCAGTGATATTGTCATACTACTAAAAACACTTCAATAAGTGGCAATGATGTCATCATACCACTTAAATCACTTTAATGAGTGGCAGGGATATTGTCATACTACTTCAGTGAGCAACAATAATGTCATCATACCACTTAAATCACTTCAATAAGTGGCAATGATGTCATCATACTACTTAAATCACTTCAATTAGTGTCAATAATGTCATCATACTACTTAAATCACTTCAGTGAGTGGCAATGATGTCATCATACCACTTAATTACTTCAATAAGTGGCAATGATGTCATCATACTATTTAAATCACTTCAATAAGTGGCAGTGATGTCATCATACTACTTAAATCACTTCAATAAGTGGCAATGATGTCATCATACTACTTAAATCTCTTCAATGAGTGGCAATGATATCATCATTCTACTTAAATCACTTAAATAAGTGGCAATGATGTCATCATACTACTTAAATCTCTTTAATAAGTGGCAATGATATCGTCATACCACTTCAATGAGTGGCAGTGATATCGCCATACTACTTAAAACACTTCAAAGAGTGGCAATAATGTCATAATACTACTTAAAATCTCTTCAATAAGTGGCAGTTATGTCATCATACCACTTAAATCACTTCAATAAGTGGCAATGATGTAATCATACTATTTAAATCACTTCAATAAGTGGCAATGATGTCATCATACTACTTAAATCTCTTCAATAAGTGGCAATGATGTCATCATACTATTTAAATCACTTAAATTAGTGGCAATGATATCATCATACTACTTACATCACTTCAATAAGTGGCAATGATGTCATCATACTACTTAAATCTCTTCAATGAGTGGCAATGATATCCTCATTTACTTAAATCACTTCAATAAGTGTCAATGATGTCATCATACTACTTAAATCACTTCAATAAGTGGCAATGATGTCATCATACTATTTAAATCACTTCAATAAGTGGCAATGATGTCATCATACTACTTAAATCACTTCAATAAGTGGCAATGATGTCATCATACCACTTAAATCTCTTCAATAAGTGGCAATGATGTCATCATACTATTTAAATCTCTTCATTGAGTGGCAATGATATCCTCATTCTACTTAAATCACTTCAATAAGTGGCAATGATGTCATCATACTACTTAAATCACTTCAATAAGTGGCAATGATGTCATCATACCACTTAAATCACTTCAATAAGTGGCAATGATGTCATCATACTATTTAAATCTCTTCAATGAGTGGCAATGATATCCTCATTTTACTTAAATCACTTCAATAAGTGGCAATGATGTCATCATACTACTTAAATCACTTCAATAAGTGGCAATGATGTCATCATACTACTTAAATCACTTCAATAAGTGGCAATGATGTCATCATACTATTTAAATCTCTTCAATGAGTGGCAATGATATCCTCATTCTACTTAAATCACTTCAATAAGTGGCAATGATGTCATCATACTACTTAAATCACTTCAATAAGTGGCAATGATGTCATCATACTACTTAAATCACTTCAATAAGTGGCAATGATGTCATCATACTACTTAAATCTCTTTAATAAGTGGCAATGATATCGTCATACCACTTCAATGAGTGGCAGTGATATCGTCATACTACTTAAAACTCTTTAAAGAGTGGCAATAATGTCATCATACCACCTAACGCACTTCAATAAGTGGCAAAGATGTCATCATACTACTTAAATCACTTCAATAAGTGGCAATGATATCATCATACCACTTCAATGAGTGGCAGTGATATCGTCATAGCCTGCAACCTCGGGGTATCGCGGTACTTGTCATGTACGTTTAACGGAACAAAATGCACTCACTAACCTTTATGTTTATTCGTGTTCTCTGTAACGGATATCATTCATGTTATCAAACAATGCATATTTTACTGATAAAAGTTCATTATTTACATTAGTAGCTCCGAGTAAAACCCGGGCCTCTCGCTCTGTTTGACAAGGGAGAAAACTCCATCGTATCGCGGTACAGAGAAAAGTTGTGTATGGAGGTCCGAATTGGACAAAAAGAGGACATAATTCTACCAACCACTTGGTATGATCATGCCAGACATCAGTGATTTGTCCAGACAAGTGTAAAGACAGCACAAGTAAAATTCTAAATGTGTTATCAGCAATAGGTATTCAATGCATATTTACCGAAAAGTAAGAGAAAAATATTTTTATAAGTCAACATCAAAATATCAGAAATGATATTTTAAGATTGTTTAAAAAGAATTGGATGACAATAATTTGTCACAAAATGTTAAAATGTTAAAAGTCAACAATAAATATATAAAAAGCACTCCTAGTATGCCCAAAGTATGTATTTATCTTTTGGTTACTAGTGAAGAACATATTTCTAAATTTGGCATTATGGCCCTTATGATCTCCCAATAGTTTCTGGGCACAGAGCGGGAAAAATTGTGCGGACTACGTAACTTCCGTTACCTCATTAGTCGCCATGAATATGCAGATGATCTAGTTCAGGTCGATAGAGAAAGTTTACTTGGGGAACTGCGGGTTATATCATTGGCCATTGATAGATGGGGGTAAGGCAATATTATAACAGATGCCAGAAATATGTATCAACGGATTAATAACTCCTTACTTACAGCAGACGGAACATTCTGAGGAAATTGAAATTGTTTACGAAGTCAGCAGTTCCTGGTTACCGATTTGCATTAATAGACAACCGCTAAGAGGCGTGTCCCGCGTGAAACACCGGAAATCACAAATGCCGCGATACGATGAATGCCGCGGTACCATGGGGTCCGAGTATACTACTTAAATCACTTCAAAGAGTGGCAATAATGTCATCATACCACCTAAAGCACTTCAATATGGGCAATGATATCATCATACTACTTAAATCACTTCAATGAGTGGCAGTGATGTCTTCATACTACTTAAATCTCTTCGATAAGTGGCAATGATATCATCATACCACTTCAATGAGTGGCATTGATATCGTCATACTCCTTAAATCACTTCAATAAGTGGCAATGATGTCATCATACAACTTTGATCACTTCAATAAGTGGCAATAATGTCATCATACTACTTAAAGCACTTCAATAAGTGTCAATAATGTCAACATACTACTTAAAGCAATTCAAAAAGTGGCAATGATGTCATCATACCACTTAAATCACTTCAATGAGTGCCAGTGATATTGTCATACTACTTCAATGAGTAGCAATGATGTCATCATACTACTTAAATCACTTCAATAAATGGTTATGATATCATCATACTATTTAAATCACTTGAATAAGTGGCAATGATATTGTCATACTACTTCAATGAGTGGCAATAATGTCATCTGACTACTTAAAGCACTTTAATGAGTGTTAGTGATATTGTCTTACACTTTAAATCACTTCAATGAGTGGCTATAATGTCATCATTCTATTTAAATCACTTCAATGATTGACAGTGATATTGTCATACTACTTAAATCACTTCAATAAGTGGCAATGATGTCATCATACTACTTCAATCACTTCAATGAGTGGCAG